TAGCAGCTTCCTGTCTGAGATACCAAAAGATACTGAGGCATTTGGGGGCACAAGAGATTAATCATGTTCCCTCCCAGTGTCCATGGGGGGTGAGAAGACAGCTTCTAAAGGTCTGAGTCCTTCACTACCTTATTCAAGGGACGTAAAGGCCATTGTGGTACAAAGGGAATAGCACTGGCTGGCAAGGCTGGAGTTTTGGGGGGTGGAGGGGGGAATCCCTGCTCTGGTCCTTATTAGAGAGAGCACAAACTCTAAAATATGGCAACTCTTACTCGAAACCCAATGGAACTTTAACATCTTCTACATTATACTTGTCAACCCAATAGTTCTGTATTTCAATTCATTTAATCCTCAGAACAATAATTTGAAGTGCATATTATGATTCCCATTTCATAGGTGAGGAAACTGGGGCCCACAGAGAGGAACTGACCTGCTCAATGTCACACAGGGAGCTAGTAGCAGCGTCGGCCTAGAAGCCGGGTCTACCCACTTCTCAGCCAGTGCTGTCTTCACTTGACCGAAGCTGATTAAATGCATGGGCTTCTCCGCTTGCTGCCTGGCACGTAGAAGGTACTTGATTCATATTTGCTTTTCTTTGTATCTTGGCCTAGACAACAACCTGTAAATACCAAATACATGTTTCTTTTAGGGCCCTGATATCATTATCTCCTCAGATCCTACAAACATGAACTCTGAAAACAAGGTTAGATATTTTCAGGCTGATGTTCCAAAATTCCTTCCCAAGCTCACTTCTTTCAGTTTCAATTATTGCTGACACTCAGGCCTTCACATCCCTGCCTGGCTCATTGCTACCACCTCTAATCTAGAAAGCGTTCCAGGCGCTGGAGCCCAAGGACCAATTTTACTCATCAGAGATCCACCGCATGAATCGTTCCTGGGTTTAAAACCTGTTCCCATCCTATTGCCGCTCATTTAATTGCCCATGGGCCCTTATTTTCTTCCAGCATTTGGCATCCCATATGGATCTGAATAGTTATCGGCGAATGAAAAACCCAAGCTACCTGGAAGGGACTAATTTTACAGATAAAGGAATTCATGCTTAAGAATTTCACCCTTAAGTAAAAGAGACTAAATTAGAATCCAGGTCTCCAGATGTCCTGTCTAAGGCTCTCTTCACTCCACTGTACTACATTTCGCCTGTCAGAGTTTTATTTCGGAGACTCATTGCCCCTAGAGGCAGTATCGTTGTTGGTTTCGAATTCTTCAGTGATGTACTCAGGCAGACAGGGAGGCAAAGAGACGGGGCTAGGTAGGACTCAGCCCTTGGAGGCTGCCCTACTTGTTAATTTTATGGCCTTTGAAAAATTGCTTAGCTTGTCTATATCTTTGCTTTTTTTAACTGCAAGGTGAGGATAATAAAAGCTGGCCTTCTTACTCTCTAATCCTGGCCCTGGCTGTGGGTGACACTCAACTGTGCAGTTGCAATATTCACATGAAAACATAGATTACAAAGTACTTTGTAAATATTGTTATGTGATAATGGAATAAGAGGAGAAACCATATTTCTGTTATAATTCTCTTGAGTCCTAAGAGTACCTTTCTCTGTGCTGGACACATGGTAAACCTCTAGATGGTAAGATGAATGTGAGGGAAGGAGGCATTGTCGAGATATGAATGAGACGTGAACATCTCCAAGTTGACATATGTAGATACCCATGGTGTATAAACTGACCTCTGCTGAGCTTGACAGATGGACCCTGGATGTCCTCAGAAGTTCACAGGTGTGTTGAGGACTGATAACATAGGGAACATATTTCTTTGGATATGAGCTATCTGAAGTCAAAGTCGCTGAAACAAAATATTGCTAGAAGTTTCTTTTAGTGCCAGGAGGCCACAAACCTGTCTGTAGCATAGGGAATTGTGAAAAGTCTACATCAGTCCCCACCAAGATTACTCACTACCTTTCACTAGAATTACATAAAAAGATCAAAACTAAGAGGCAGTGCAAAGTGATGGGGAGAAGGGGTATTGGTGGTGGTGCAGAATAAGCGTTGGTGTGGAATGGAGGGTGAAATTTGAATTTTCAAGCCCAGGAGATGGGAAGAGGGGGAAAGGGTTCACTGGAGGTATTATATAGATGGTTCACTTTGGGTCTTAACTCAGGAGAGAAAGGATGGACAAGATGACTGATGACAGCTTCATACCTCTCCCAAGCCTCTGACTTTTGATCAAGCAAACCCAGTGGCCTGATATTGGATGGATGGGACAACTTACTATTTTTCTAAAGATGAGAATGACAGAGGACAGGCAGACAGGCAGACAGACACGTTGAGGGCTAGAGAGAAAACACTACAATCAAGTCACCTGAAACCCCATCTCCCACATTTTCACCATGAGCATTTTTGGAAGTTTATTTATTTATTTTTTCAAATTACAGAATTCAGTGAAAAACCTCAAATAAGAGTAAATGGAGTAGAAACCAAAACTCTTTCTCCATTTCCTACCGCTCTCCCCAGTCCTATTCCCTCCACAGCAGGGATCACCATCCACAGCTTGGGGGGTTGTTCTCTGGGACTTTTTCACCTTGTACACATATACATGACACATTATCATCGCTTTCTAAATTTAGCAATATGTGCTATACATCTTTCAATATCAATACTTTCACTCTTTGTAAACAAAAATACGCCTTTTATTAAAATGATTTACATGGAACATAAATTACTCATACTTAAAAACAGAGTTTAAAACTATTCACTTCAGAACATGAATTAAAGAAAGACACTTTGTCATGACTTACAACTACTCATTTATTATTATTATCCCATGTCTGTAATGTACATTAGCCCAAGTTGAATGGATCCCAGTCTTTGGATGTTACAGGATTTCATA